GAAAACTCGCATAGGCGAAGGACGGTATCGATTGCGCGCTTAATCACGGGGAAATAAATATGAATTGAAGGAGTGCACGTGAGAGCTGAGAGACAGACATACATTGCGCTTTTATTATATTAGGCAGGGGGGATATCATGCACACCGAATCGAGGAGCATTCCGTTCATCTATTCCTGTGTGTCCTCTGACCCGATTTTTTTCTCTTCATAGCGCTGCATTTCTTGGTCGGCGGTTGGTAGTAGGTGTGTTCTGACTTCTTCGTCTCGGAGCCGATCAGTCCGAGACCAAGGGTTGCCAATGCCGTTCGGCAGCATCCTTCAAGCCGCTGATTCATTTTGCTGAAGGATACGATGGACACAAGATCCAGTCGTTCCGCGATCAATATCAGCGCGTCGTCAGGCAGATCCAGGATATGCATTCTGTGGATTGAGAAAGATTTTTAGAACTACTTTCCAGAGGTCGCTCCGATCTGACGGCATGAATTACAGAGTTCCAGGTCTCGGCTGGAGAATCTCGAAACTCACCTGCTTGCTGCCTGAGGCTGCGCGGTTCCAAAGTTGACCAGCTGATCAACAGAGCTCGACACGACACTCTCCATTTCGAAAATTCAGAAGTCTCCTGAACAATAGCTCGAAGTCGATGCTTCCTCTTCTGACGACCCTATGATGCTCCAGCTCAATGCTGGACTCTCTTAAATACTCTCCCCCTTATTGCGAGATTTTGGGAGAGGGCCGGTCAGCGCTTGACTCGGAGCTCGGTATTTCATAGGAATTCCGCACCGAGGACCTCCGAGATCTAGAAAATCGAAATTAAGCGAATTCTTGAGCGGGGCTAATGATTCTAGCTAGCGTGGGGGCCTGTGATACTGAGGCTGGGGCTTTAGAAAAGGAATTAATATTCGGGGAGAGTCTGTCGGGGGAGCTGGAGATGCCTCACATGCCCCGCACCGCTTGCATGTTGCTTCTCGTGATACTTCTTCGAATAATTCACTACAGTGCCGCACACTCCGCATGTCGAAATTTCTCGGTCTTTTCAGAATATTCCAGGTACAAACTCGTTCATGTATACCTGAGGCTCCTGAGCAGTGTCTGAAGCTTCGTTTGGCATTGTAGAGCCCGCTGATAGGCTCAAGAATTACTAGAAAATGAATGCTCATACGAAGCAGCCGACTTGCTGATCCTCTAATAAAGAATAAGTCTCTGAGTTCGAAAATAACCTAGCCTTTCTGCTTTGACTCTTGCGCCCTGCGCACGCTTTCGTAAGAGTCCCCAGAAAGTTCCGTACTTCTCGTGTCACTGCTACTATTTCAGCGGTCAAGTGAGATAGTTTGGTCTATCGTCTCTTCCGCTTCTTTTGGACTGCTTGCAGTCACCCATTACCCTTAGTGTGTGCTGTGTGTCCCTCATCTCCGAGTGCGTAAAGTTTGCCGCTCCTTCCCAGCGGAGGGATGGAGGAGGAGAAGCAACCGGCGATACCATCGGTTTCTGAAGTTGGTGACGACATGGAGTTGGATTCTACCGTGGTGACCAAGGGCAAGAGAGGTCTCTCTTCCGCGTCAGATTCGTTCTTTGTCGAGGCGGACAACACTGTAGCCAACCCGCCATCGAAGCAACATCGAGAGGGTGTTTGCGAGGAGGAAATCGACGGCGGTGAATTTCAAACTCAGGGGAGACGCAAGCTCAACTTTGAACAGCGAAACAGGGCAGTGATTTTTTCGGGCGATATCAAGAACTTCACGGCGGTCTCTCTGGCTGCGGCCAAAGTTATGAAAGGCCAAGTTCGGGAACCTCGTATGTCGAAAAATGGGGAGCTCATATTCGAAGTCGATACCGATGAGGATCTGGCGTCCTTGTGCGCTGTCAGCAATCTCGCTGGAGTACCTGTCGTCGCACGCGTCTCCCAGCCTCGGGTCATTTCCAGAGGCTCTGTTTTCGGAGTCCATCGTACGATTACGGATGAACAGATCGTCGAATCTCTCAAGGCTGTGGGGGTCACTGAAGCGTCACGTGTGAAAGCTCGGGATCCACGACTGGGCGCGATTATCAATACGGATCGAGTCATTCTCACTTTCGGTAAACATGTGTCGATCCCCGAACAAGTCTGCATCGGAGTCACCAACTATGCTGTAGTTGCTTATCACGAGCCTCTCCAGTGCTTCCGCTGTAACCGTTTCGGTCATACTTCCAAGCACTGCGAGATGAATGCCGATACTTGCAGGCGGTGTGCTGCTCTCGGTCATTTATCCACATCGTGTGTTCAGCCGGAGCACTGCGTCAACTGTGGTGGCCCCCACACGGCCCGTTACGGGGCTTGTCCTGTACGGCTGCGGATCCTTGAATCATGGAGACGCTCCATGAGGACTTCCAATCCCGCTCCTCCGGTCCCCCTGCTTCAGCCGGTTCCAGGCATAAGAGCGCACTCCGAATTCCGCGCTGGCCGCTCTTACGCAGGCGTAGTCCAGGATGGCATCAAGGTGGCAAGACACCCGACGCCCGAACTCCGAGCTGCCCCACCTCCATCATGTCCTGCTGTTGCTCCCCAAGCTCCGGTTGAAGCGCCCTGCCGAGTCGACATCGATATTGATGCGCTAAGCTCGTCGATCACTGAACGCGTCCTACGAACCGTTTGGGCTGACATTTCAGCTATTGTTTCGAAGGTAGTTGAAAGCGTCTTCACCAAGATGATCCCAAAAATGGTTGAACAGATTGTTACCATGTTGCGCCCCACATTCGGAGCTTCCCACCCGCCGCCCTCCATTGACGTCGCATCCTTGGTTCAAGACAGCTTCAAAGAGGCTGCTGGTGGCAAGCCCCCACCACGTTAAATGTCTGAGAGAAACTCTTCCAGACTCAATAATGCACCTGCGGGACCATCGTCTGCTCCCGCACAACCTTCAGTGTTAAATATTTCATCTCCGGCTACTTCTGTATCTTCATTTCGGTGCTCCCTATGTTCTTTTGAGACCCGTTCAGTTCATGGTCTCAGGATCCACTGGGGTCGTATGCACCCGAGCTCGCGTGCATCATCGAATGTTTCTTCACCATCTCCTAGTCAAGTTGTTTTTCCCCGTCCGACCGGTCGGGCCCGCCCGGCCCTAGCGCTATCGCCGAGGCTCAATCCACACCCCCAGTCCCTGAGTCACTTGAGTCGATTATTATGCGAGTCAGGGCTCTACGTCACAAATCCAAGCTGATCTCAATCATTCCGCGCGGCCTTAGAACCACAGTCGCTACCGAGCTCACGGAAGTTCTCAACGCCGTATGCTCTTCTAACGACCCCCCTGCATGGTCCTCCTTGTTCAGCTTCGCCTACGCTGTTCTTGCGATCCCAATCGAAAAGGTGCGGGGTAGAACGTTATCTTCGCTCATCCGCACTAATCTCAATCGTTTCCGTCGCGAGAAAATCCTCCCGCTTAATCCATCTCACCCCGTTCCGGCGAGATCTTCGGCAGCACGCCAGGGCTCCACATCGCGATTAGTCCAACACAAGCTTGCTCAAGGCGACGTTTCTGCAGCCGCTCGCATCTTGATCTCTACCGACGTGACGGCACCGCCCGATCTTGAAACTCAGCGCACACTCGAACTCAAGCATCCTGATATGCCCTCTACGTCGTCTTACCCTCGACCGCCTCGTCCAGTTGCTTCTGTAGATGAATCTACTGTTTCTGAGTTGGATATTCTATCAGCCGTCAACTCTTTTCCGCCTAGCTCAAGTGGAGGCCCGGATGGAATTCGCCCTCGCCATCTCAGGGATTTGATCAAGAAAGACTGTAGCTCTTGTCCCCTCGTCGAGGCCCTGGCGAGGTTCTGCACAATGGTGATCAATGGCAGGCTGCCTGATTTCGTTCTGGATACTTTTTACGGCGCGAACCTCTTGGCGTTGCGCAAGAAGACGGGGGAATCAGACCAATTGCTGTCGGCAACACTCTCAGGCGCCTGGCGGCGAAGATCGCCATCCGTAAAAACAGAGACCCCATTCGGGATCTTGTCATGCCTGTTCAGCTCGGGTTCGGTGTGGAGGGAGGTTGCGAGGCGGCCGTTCATACAGCCTCGAGTTTCATTGAAGTTAACAGAGGCTCCGGTAAGATCCTAGTCAAACTCGACTTTGCCAATGCCTTCAACTCTCTTCGTAGAGACTTGATTCTCGATGCAGTTCAAGCCAACTTTCCCGCTCTGTACCCCATGATCTATCAGGCGTACAGATCTCCCTCGAAGCTCTTCTGGGAAAACAGGGTTATGCTCTCGAGATGTGGAGTCCAGCAAGGTGATCCTTGTGGCCCTGCCATCTTTTGCATTGCTCTTCATCAACTTTCGTCGTCACTCCAATCGGAGTTCAAGCCTTGGTTCCTGGATGATGGTACGCTCGGCGGTCACTCTGCTTCAGTCCTCGGCGACATCCAGAGAGTGAAAGACTTCGCCCTCGTGTCAGGCCTCGTTCTCAACGACGCGAAATGCGAGCTTCTCGTGATGTCAGACCTTCCGGAGGTTCGCACGGAGCATTTTCATGCCGCTCGGCTTCATCTCGCAAATATCAGGCTCCTGGCTGATAGCGAGCTCGAACTCTTGGGCGCTCCTCTGAATGACCTCTCGTTGGATGGAAGTCTCCAGAAAAAGATGGCGCTCGTTGATTTATGGTGCTCAAGACTCCCTGCTCTGGACGCTCATCCTGCCCTCTTCCTCATCCGCTGTAGCCTCTCTGCTCCTCGTCTCATCTACGTCCTCCGCTGTTCGGACGCCGATCGGTTTCGCGACCACCTTCGGAGCCTCGACGAAAAACTTAGACGGTGTCTGTGTTCGATACTCAATCTCGACCTGTCAGGTGACTCCTGGAAGCAGGCTTCTCTTCCTATATCGGCCGGAGGACT